TTTTGGTGTTTGTTGTTCAAGTGAAAATAGATAAAAAAAAATATTAATTATGTTTTATATTTTAAAAAGGGATATTATGAACTTTTTATATACTTAAAAATTTTCTCCTGACTCGATAAAGTTGGATTCCTGAGAATGCTTTTGTAGAAAAGTGAGATAATAAATGATTTTTAAAAAAATATATTTTCTAAGAATCTTTTATTTTTAAATAGTTATCAAACATGAAAAATCAAGCTTCATGGTATTCTCATAAAAGTAAAAAGATTTTACGTACCAAATACCTTTTTTAGAACACCAATTCAGCTTTTGTAAAAATTCACTCTAAGGTTAGAAGAGATCACAAAGCATCTCCCCAGTGACAACATATTCCTCCTTAAGTTCTAAGAATAATAAGGTGTCTTCCACAAATTACTGAATTTTTATATCTGATAAAAATTAGTATATTCTAAATAATTGACTCATATTTTAACAACTAAAATAGTTATGATAACAATTTATAAACTAAAAAATACTTATTGTACACTCATGTACAAACTCGTAAATGTATCCTTCTTTGCAAATAATTCTTAGTATGTCATTTTAGATGACTAGTGCTAGCCCCTATCCGACCAGTTGCAAATCTATCTTAGGAGCATTTGCAAACAACTTTTTTTACACCTTTACTAATTTCAAAATCATTCCAAACAAATTTTTTTTGTCTTTTCCTTTTAATCACAACAATATCACTTTCTCAATCTTTCTCACTTTGTTATGCATTGTTTTCTAGTTGACTTGAATTTGTTAACCAATTTTTTCTTCCTTTATTTCTTTTTAGAAATGCTTTCTCATAAATTCAAATTCTTAGACAAATTGTATGTAATTAATGATGCAAATTAAACTACTCAAAACACAAGTAAGTAACAAGTAATTAAAAGTGTAGGGAAACGGCCAATCCTGCCTACATCCTGTCCTCAAGTCTCCAACTTGAGATTTCCACTATTCTTGTAACTCTTACAAGACTTGAATCCTCCAACACCTTGGAACTCCCTTTCCTTATGTTGAGATTCAAAAACCAAATAGGAGAAAAATCTTTTCTCCTTTACAGATCAACTGATCAAGTGGGTATTACAGAATGACTCTCTTTGAAGAGTAGATATTACACTTTTTAAGATCTTGATGAACTCTTTAGAGATTTTTGCAAATGACTTTGGCCAAGTAGTTTTTGTAAATTGATTTTCAAATAGAGTTCGTAACCTTCTTCTGAAAAATTATAGGTATTTATAGACAATTATTTCTTAGGTTGTGTCTTTTCATGAAGAGTTGCAACTCTTTATAATTTTTCAGAAAATATACTCTGATAATCGATTACAAGACTTGGTAATCGATTACAACGGTTTTAAGTTCAAAAAATTTGAAACGTTGTATCTTTTAAATTCAAATTTTTGAAGTTTTCTCTTCTGGTAATCGATTACAAGGTCTGGTAATCGATTACCAAAACACATTTTGTATTCAAAATTTGAACTTTGAAGTTTTCTTGCTCTGGTAATCGATTACATAAGCTGGTAATTGATTACCAGAAAAAATATTCTTATATTTGTTACACAAACTTTTAATTATAGGAAACTTCTAATTTTCAGTCAAAAATATTTTTGTAAAATCTTTTTGACACTCTTTTTACCTTATTTTTCAAAAAACTTATTCTTAAAAAAAATACTAAATTTAGATTTTCTTGAAATCCTTATTTTAAAAGCCAAGTGAAATTTTTAATTTCTAAAAGTTCATTTTACATATCGAGCTAAGTAGTCAAGACTTATCTAGTTATTTCTTGAGATCTTGCTTCTTGATCAACTTGCTTTAACTTGACCTTTTATTTTCTTCAAAGCTTTGACATCATCAAAACTTTATGCATATGTTCTTCCACAATTGGTATTGATTTATGTGCACTTAACCCATTGACAGTTGGAAGGATAGATGCAACCCTTTCGTTGTTCTCAAATAGTGAAGTCATTCCTTGACACTAAAAAATAATATAATCATGACTATGAACATGATTTAATTAAAGTCTTTAATATAAAAAAGAAACATTCAATCTTTCTCAATCCAAAATTGTGAAACTTAAGAAAATTATATCAATGGAAAACATCTAATTACAAAAAATATAGAAAACATACAAAAAGAAAAAGATGGACAAAATTACCTATGAGAGAAAGAATGCAAAGTTGTAGACTTGTAGTTGATTGCTTTTGTATGAGTTGAGTGATGACTATCAAATATAAAGGTCGAACATGGAAGATGATGTCGATGAAGGATTGGAGGTAAATTACGAAGCCACAAAATGAATAAAGGATTAAAGGTTAAAGTTGAAGTCACAATTCACAAATAAAAGATAGAGGCACTTAATCAACTAATAACCATGAAGATGAAGGAAGAAAGCATATAAAAATGCAATTAGGGCTCCTATTTACGATTTTTTGATTTTCTATGAATAGGGTACGTAAAATATTTAAGTAGAGTGATAAAAAATATTGATAATTTATTTTTTATTTTATAAATTTATTTGTTTATTTATAAAATCATATTGTTAATAATATATGTATATTAATTTTTTATCAATTATATAGATAAATAGGCTAGTCTATAAAGTCTTGCAAATATTTTTATAAGTCTATGCCCAACCTTTTCAAATAAATCAATTTTCTTAAAAGTTTAAACCTGACACTTTTATTAAATAAGTCAGATCAGATCAAACTTTAAAGAAATCAGGTCATAGATCTCTACTTAAGACCTCATCTATCACATCCTTAAATATCAATAACAAACAACTCTTTGAAATGAACTCTTTATATTAATAGGCTTACATTAAGTGTATCTTGCGACAAACACTTTCATTATTAAGAGCTTGAGTAACAATACTCGGTATCTACACCAAACTTATTTTATTTTCAATTTTATACAGAAACTACTCAATTTTCATGTTAATTCTAAGTTACAAATCACCTACACTTTTTAAATAACTACTTCACTTCACTATTATTTTTTTACTTTTTAAATGAGAGAAACTTACATTTCAAATAATTACTCATGCACTACAACAAAAATTATTTTTAACAACAATTGTTTAATGACAATAATTTAATTGCCGCTATTTAATTATATAATAAAAATATTAATGGCTAATATATAATAGCCACTAAAAGTGTATTTATATTACATTAAAGTTTACTATTAGCGACAATTATTTATTGAAAAAAACTAGTCCCACATCGATTAGAGATAAGATAATTAAATAGTATATAAGTGAGTAATAACTATCACCTTGTAAGTTGATTTATAGGGTTGAGTTAGACTCTTAATTCACTATAATAAATTAATATCAAATCACCCACTATTACCAAGTTCAATAGTGCTATAAAACAATTAGAGAGCAACTTTCACCTTATAAATCTCACATCTCTTAAGAGATAAGACAATTAAAAAAATATATATATAGAAGACAACCCTCATCTTACAAATCTCACATCGACTAGAGATAAAAAAAATATATAAGTTATGAATTTAGAAAAGAAAATTATAGGAATAAATTATTTAAAGTTTTACTAGCAAAAGATAAAAGTCACTAAATGGATGGAAAGGAGACAATTGAAAAAATAACTTTTAATAGCCTTTAAAATGGCTACTATAATTGCCACTAAAAAAAATAAGTTTTCCCGACAATTTAGTAGGTCTTTACCAGCATTTTATATAAATGCCGGTAATAGTATTAGCGACACTGGATACACCAGCCATTATCTAAATGCTGGTAAAAAAAATAATGACCATTTATATGATCGCTAAAGAATAAATTAATTGCCACAAAAACCTAATTTTAGTGTAGTGATGTCTTTATTTTATTTATGTTTTTAAAATGAGTGGGATTGGAATGTCTTTTTCCATTTCTACAAACATAATAACAACTTCCACATAAAAAAGACAACTGATTATGAAATATCCAAAACCAAGCTCTATGATTGTGATTGTTTCTGGGATTAAATATTTATTTCCAAAAATTTGAACTTAAGAATGTTATTATGTTTAGAGTTTTGAAAAAATATTTCAAAGTATTATTTTATTCAAAAAGTGGTGATGACATCATTTCTTTCATTTCTATTCTCGAGGTAATAAAGGATGTAAAAGTTGTACTGTCACGAGAATGCGAGAAGTTATATCTTAATTTACTCATTCAACTCAATTTTTTATTTTTAAATTTTAATTAATTTAAATTTTAAAATTATTCAAAAAAATATTAAAATCCTACAAAACACATTTATAAATACCTCTAAAAGTAACATTTAAAAAAAATGATATTCTTAAAAATATAATTCTTAAAAATATGATATCATACCTTAAAACAAATTTATCATGTATCATATATAACAAAATGCTTATCAACGCTTTATAAACTTAATAATACTCAAACCTTACACGTAGCTTATAAACGAAGTAACAAAATACTCAATTTTTAAAACAAAAATGGATTATAAAGTGACTTACATTGACTTGGAGCCCGTGGGTCCTCTGTGCCTAATAGGTCCATCAATGTAAGATTTCCTCCAAGTATTGCAACGTATAAAAGTTTTTTCCACTCATGATTCCCATGCACAAAAGCTTTTTCGTTAAGCTCTTTGTGGAAAGATTTGAAAACCCCAACACCTCTGAAGTCTAATTGAAAGACTCCTTAACCTAGCTTCATTAACATAGTCAAAGAACCCTATTATCTTTCTCCAAACCCACTAACACAATTTTGCTTCATAAAAATGTTCACATCCTTTCATATTTCAATTAAATTTTAAAATCTACTAAAAATAATTTTTTTATTATTATTATTATTATTATTTTCTTACGTGGATCAATTAGTGTCAGCTCTTCTAAATCATAGACATTCTGTTAGATTTTGAATGATAGAATAATAGTAAATCAACATTCCTGAATTTAAAATTGTAGAACCAAATATAATAACAACAATTTGTTTTAGTTAGTAGATATCATCACACAGTATTCTAAAACTGATAATCAAATATTAATTTAAATTAACATGACACAGTTTTTTTGCTGATTAAACAATACTTAAACACCTAAATTATATCATGTCTAAAACTATAGACTAAAAATAGGTTTAAGTGTAATTATTATTCTCTGCTTTGATCTAAATGATCAGTTGCAGAGTATAAGCACAATGGTGGCATTGGGTCAATCCTCAAATCCTGGAGCGAAAGTTATACCTGTTGAAGGTAACCATAAATGCCCCAAAATGAGATGTGCCACGGTGAAATTATAAGCCTGGGTAGAATCATTAATGACATGGTACCCTGGCCATTTGACTCTGTTATCAAGTTTAGCCCCTGGTCCATAATTATTGTACTCAGCATAGTACAATGTATCCAAATACAATGATCCATTCCACTCTAGCCACCCTTCTGGCCTTAACACCTCACTAATGTAGGACTGCATCACAATTGTTCTAGAATATGCCTTCCAGGGTCTTCCAAGGTATGTTGAGGTTGTGTTAAGTAAGGGTACAAGGTCATAATCTGCTGAAATGTTGCAGAATTGGATGGAGAAACCAGATGATTGAGTTGGGTCTGTTTCCGATTGAGCCGTGATTGTGTTTTTCTGCAGTGGTAAGCCTTTCTTGACCAATAGTGTGCAGTTTTGGAACACTACATTGGCATGCCCACATATGAAATCAACGGTGCCACTAATTTTGCACTCTCTGTAGAATTGGCGCAAGGAGTGGGCGTAGAGGGTGTCTTGGTAGCCAGAAACCCCACATCGGTAGAACACAGAAAGGTCTGAATCTGATCTTAGTGCCACTGCTTGGTGCTTCTCTGGGCCTGCAGTGTTCCTAAAGGAAATGTCTCGTGCTATGAATCCTCTTCCATTCACAGCTTCACAATAAGAGTATAAAGAATAAGAATTGAGTCACATATATTTACTAATTATGTTAAAGTTAAGTTTTCTTACCAAAGGTAGCTGTCCTGAACGTGGTGACATTTTGACTATAACTCACGTTACCAGTGATAACAGTTGAATCCATACCATCTCCAATCATGAAGAGGTTCCACTTTTTCTTACTAATCTCAACCCTCTCGTCGTAAACACCCTTCTTAATGTGTATCACAAAGCGCTTGATGCTATACTCTGGTGCTGCATTCACAGCATCCATCACCTTAGTAAAATTTTCACTCCCATCAGCAGCAACTACAGCATCCGCACGCACCCCATTACTTTGCATCATCATCTTGTCCTCTACTTCAACCCATGAGGGAAATTTGGCACTACTAATTGCACTGAAATCATCCCAAACAGGCTTCACCTGGGTCACCAGCTTTTGGAGCAAAACCTTTGCTTGGTCGATTTGAGAGGATATTAAACCCTTCATATTCCCACTCGTACCTTCAAAACCATCCATGCATGTGTCTGTATTCGCAAGTGCAGCGCTCAACCATGTCCTCAAATCGGAGCTCAGATTCCCAGTACTGTTATGCTTCCCTGCCATAAATATTAATATATATTCGTATGTACTTTATCATTATAATAAATCGGATAGTTTAAGATTATGTTTTAATAATGTTGCATTTTGTGTTTGTGATTAGTTTTTGGACAATCACTCGGTGCCTCTCAATTTGGAGGATTTTGATGTCTTTAATTATTTTAGATTTGTTTAAATAAATTTCTCTAAAAGTATTTTTATAAAATAAAAAATAAATTAAAATAAATTTTTCTATATCTTAAGAAATATTTCATGCATTATTTAAAAATAAAATTTTGAAAAGTCTAATAAAAAAACTTTTATCAATTAGTTCATACATTAACTAATTTTATGTAATAAAAAAATTTATTTTATTTTTCTCACGCAAAAGTGTTTCTGAAATATTTTTATGCAAATCGACCTTAATCAAGATGAGATTTAATTAAAGTGCTTCCTCTTTATGTTTTTTGTGAAGTCATATTCTTAAAATATCATAGGACAACAACTTTAATTAATTAAAGTGTATGACATAGGAATTTTACACTATAATTGTATTTGAACACTAAGAGACACAAAAATCATAATTTCATTAGTTAAGCAAAAAGGGTTAAAAATTATGCGAAAGTACGAGGAAACACATGAAAAAAAAAAAATAATAAATGATTTTATAAAATGGGAATGAACTTAAGATATAAATTAAGATGATACATACATACATACCTTGGGGACTTTGAACTGCGGAAATGGACCAGCTGAGTTCATCAGCTGACAAATCAAACAACTCGAGACACGCGGCAATTGCGTCAGAAAGACGAAAGTGACTATCGACATTAATGCTGAACACAGATTTGAGAGTGGAAGTCATGTTTTGAAAAACATCACCAACTATTCTCACGGATCCTATGAATTCATGAGGAGCCACATTCAGGCTCCCAAGTCCCGCAAAATCAGAGCGAACAAAAGGGACACGTGGAGACACCACCAACAACACGAACAAGATGAATGTGGTGGTGGGAGTTGGAGTCATTGGGGGAATGAATGAATCAAGTCTTTGAAGGAAAAGGGAAGGAAAGTTCATGAGTCTAGGGGAAGAGAATGATGAAACAATTGTTTCATGAAGATATATATTATGTGAAGGGAAATTGAAACAATTTCATGGTAAAGAGAGTGGTAAGAAAGAAAGAAAGAAAAAATAAAAATAAAAAAACTCTACAGTGTCATCATTGAAGAAGAATATGAATTTTGAAGTCATGTACGAAAAGTTGTTTAAGGGAACTGATTGAGAAGGTAGAGAGACAGAGACTGAGGTCATTTGAGGAATGGAATGAACTGGTGAGCACTAGAATTGGCGGATAGCGGAATTGAAATAAGAGGGTTCTTTTTCTTTTGAAGTAGGCTGTGTGATCAACGGCTGTGATACACTCCGAGTCCGAATATAGTTCATAAAAGAAAACGGGTTAAAATCAAACACAGTTAGGCACATGGAGAAGCAATTTGTATCATTAAGTATGTTATGTTATCTACGGTTCAAACTAATATTGAATATTAAGTAATATTGAATATAGAATAGGCTATATTGAATAAAAGATAGATTATATATTGTGAGTTTATAAGATTAATCATTATTTTTAACGATGATAATTTATCAATAAAATATAATTCATGGAGACGCTTACAAAAGTAAAGTTATTCAAGTGTTGAAAAAAATTAAAAGAAACGTTATTGTCATTTAATTTTTACCAGTAATATACCATGTGTTGTATAAGGATATATTGACTTTACAATATATTTGTATTTGTATATAATTTATATGTATACATAATTTTAATAAGAAATAATAATAGTTTATATTATATTTAATAATTATTAATTTTTCCTTTTAAAATATGTTTTCCCAATAAAAGAAACGATAATCAACATTACTTATATACATACATATATATATATATATATATATATATATATATATATATATATA